GACACATATTTCCTATAAGGTATATATGCTCCTGTGATCATATATAGAGAAGCAGCATCTATTTTTAGACTCCAATCCTCTAGATTTGTAAGACAATAGGCAAGTTTTTATTCTAGGATTCTCTCTCCCTTCTCTTTCCTCTTCTCTCCTGCCTCTCTCTGCTTCTGCTTCTTTTGGTGAATATATCTCAATACTACAGGCATGGCCCACAGAAGTAAACACAACTATAAAAATGTAACAAATGCATACAATCCTAATGGTGGGAGGGCAGAAAAGCCTGGAAATCACTTACCCTACATCATATATAGAGAAGAAGCATCTGTTTTGACTCCAATCCTCAAGATTTGTAAGATAATAAATTTGGGTTGTTTCAACACACGTAATTTGTGATAACTTGTTACAGCAGCAATAGGAAACTAATACAAATTGCTTGGCTTTAATCTTTAAGTTAGTGTCCATGAGTTAAAACCAGGACTTTTTTTGTCTTCCAAACAACAGACAGCCCATACCTTGAAATGCGGTGTTTTCCACCATTCAGAGACTTAGTAAACAACAAATGGGTCTACCAGTTGTGTGGCTATGGGCACTTAACAGTGTAAAGGGGGCTCAGTGGATTTGCTGTACTGCCTCTTTCAGTGACGTACTCTCTATTGCTCTGCCTGCCTGTGTATATATTGCCCTCCATCTCAGCATTAAAGGCTGGCAAAATTCACCAAAGTCTCCAAATTCTCTTTCCATCTGTGAGAACTGACAATGAACCTACCCTGCCTGGGATGGATGCACAACAATATCCCAGGCATTGGGGTGGAGTAATTTCAGCCAGGAACTGCCTGTTAGTCTGTTTAACTGTGTGCTCACAAATGTGACATGGTATGTCAGAGTCAGAACCTGAAAGCTTTTCTCGCTATGTAAGAAATTTAAAATAATCTGGAAGGTGCTCAGAGACTACAGAAGGATTAGATGCAGAGGACTGTAAAAAAATAAGATTTGCACTTTAATGTGATTGATTGAGTTCTGGACATAAGGAGAAGGAATAAGAGACTAGTTTAGTACCTTGGGCAAGAAAAGATGGGTGTCCTTTTTTGATTATTGTACTAAAAAAATTATTTTACTAGTGATGTAGAGACTTAAAATACAGTTGTGCTCTTTAAATATTTGACATTCTGTCATGAGAAAAGATGATTAAACATAGTCTGTGCTACTCTAAGATCACGGTATAACATAATAAGGAAATATTAAGTACACTATTGTTAGGGGGAAATGATGTCCTGAGCAAACTCCATACAGGCTTTGTGGACTCCACACCCCCGACACCGGGAACTACAAATCCCGTGATCACCAAAGGGAAGGTTGCCAGGACCTGAGGGCGGAGTTAAGCAACTAGGCTCTCAGTTTGAGTATTTAACTGGCCATGTGACTGCGGGTCACCCTCTTGGCTACGCTGTGTGCTGGTTTTTCACCAGCTCGGTGGGTCATTGGGATTCCAGGTCAGCAGAATGGGTAGGATGCATTTATGAACTTATCTCCCTCTTTTTCTCCCTGAGTTATTCATGTCCCCATTTCCCTTCCCTTGTAAATAAACCTTTTTATCAACCTTTTGTGTATATCTGCAGTTGAACATTAATAAGTCCCCTTTAAGTGCACGGGTAAGGACCCACAGTCATCAGGCAACCCCGTTTTATATCGGGCTTTGCCCTGTAACACTATCAGGACGTGAAACTGAGCCATAGGGCAAGCAGAGAGCTCCTAGGTTTAGAATAGAATAGAAAATGCCTTGGAGGAATAAGAAAGTCTCCAGAGATGGGGCAAAAAATTCCACAGGGGACTAATCAAACACCCCAGGTCTAGGGGCAACAGGACATTCGGAACAAGGACAATAAAGAAAAAGGAGTCTAAAATAAGGACTAGGACACAGAGTCTTACTTCTGGGCATGGAGACATTAAGGCAGAGTGAGTGAGACCACCAAGAACTAACCAAGCACAAAGAGAATGTTGGGTTTTTCGAATAATTAGGGAAGAAGGTTTATGTTCCCTGAGGCTTGGGCTTCCTTGTCCCTCCCTGGCCTGGTTCCACCAGCCTGAGAGTCCCACTTTATTTCTGATCCTTTTCTCCTTAATAAACTTTTTCTTTCTGCCGCGAGCGGTAAGCTAATCTCAGTCGGAGGTTGATTCTCAAGAAGAGATTTTATTTATGCTGTCACTCTAACACTCAAATCAAACAGAGAAAACCAAGCCAAAGTACCCAAAGTACCTTCCGACCAAAATTGCTGCACAACGTGTATCTTAGCCAAATCATCAGCAGAAGACAGGGGAAGAGCCATGGAGATTATGGCAAGGACTCATGGATTGATGAACATGCAGAATTCCAGGCTGATTTGTGGTGTGCCAAATTGTGGGGCAAAAGAGGTTGGAGAGCAGGTGAAGTCCAAAGGGAGCTGTGAGCTAGCCTCCAGAAGAGTAGTCTCCGAATGTTATGCTAGAACCAGTCTCTTGGAAGTGCTCTCTCTTGGCCTCAAAATGCTGGTCCTTATATGTTTATTTTGAGTCCTTATCACTTGTGTGCAGGACAAACTATATAGTCCGTTTTCAGCTTTACCAGTCTATAGGAAGTTGCAGTTTCTTAGTGGCATGATGGTGGCTAGGCAGGGGGTCATCAGGTGAGATGCTGAGCTAGTATAGTAGGAAATCTGCACACATTAATTGCTTATGGGGCCTGTCTGCTCCAACTTAATTTTCCAGCCCAAGGACACGTCTGGAGGAGTGCAGAAGTGCTATTTGAAGACCAGATCAGCACACTGGGACAAACCAGAGACCAGGAGGGTGATAAGGAGCTCCAGGGGCTGGACATCACAATCTCCTGGCAGTGGTGAAAGCCTGCTCACTACTGAACTCTCTTGTTCAACTCACTATAAAAAGGAGGCTGGAAATGAAATGTTAAGATGGTTTCTTTAGGGTGTTAATCACCTACCCCTCAGTCTTCCAGATTGTGGGCTGTCTGATTAAAGCGCACTTTAAAGATTCAATTCCTGTCTCTACTTTATTGGCATTTAATGGTGACAGGTAGCCCAAACTCCAGTCTTCTGGTTATAGGCGTACTTTAGTCTTATCAGTCTAGTACACTCGTAAACATGTTTGAGCATCTTTTATATTTGTTACACTTTCTCTAAACAAATTTGCCTCTTTTCTTTTGCTTGCCTGAGAGTCAGGAAAGTTTTTGCTGTGGCTTCATGTGACCCCCAACACATGGTTGTGGCTCAGTGCTGCCACTGCAGCCTGGGATCCATTCCTGGCTGGGAGGAGACTAGACCTGAAAACCTGAAATTACGTTATCAATACAGCAAGGGGCACTAAAACTGGACAGGTACATTGCCCAAATAGTTTCCCAGTCACTATCAGAGTTCTTCACAAGCGTACACAAATGCAAGACTACTCAGATTCAAAAAACAAGAATAATGGGATTAAGTTAACAAACCAGGGAAAATAAAGAGTTACTGAGGCCAAAAATGGCCGTTCACTTGACCAGAAGCAGTGTCCAGTGTCTTAAAGTCCTAAACACAAATGCTCCCAAAATGGCATCTTCCCATCACTGTGGATGGGGAGCGCTTGTCCCCTACAATAAGTCATGCTCCCAAGATGGTGTCTTCCTGCCACTGAGGACCTGGAGCACGTGGCAGCCAGACTATAGGCTGGGATCCAACTCAAGAAGATAGCAGAATACACAACAGGAGGTGGTTGCTGGAGCTGTTGAGATGAGCCAGCACAGCACCAGACAAGTGACACTCCAAAGAGCAGCTGCAGCAGCCAAACCACCCAACAAATGCCACCCTTACAGCTCAGTAAGGCGCCAGGCTCTGGGTCTTTGCCTTCCCTGTCAGGATCTAAGAGCTGCAAAGCTGGAAACAGTTTCAGTCACTCTGCTACCTGCAAAGACTCCCAACATTTCTCCACTGAGGTTGTCTGCTGGAAGCCTCTCCACACCCTTCAGAGGCCCACAACAGCCTTCTGGAAGATCAATATGGTGGGTGCAGAAATCGCTGACTGTGAGGCCTCCCCTGGTGGCGCAGGTGGTTGAACGCCATGCTGTGAAGCTGTCCGCAGCCTGTGCAGCGGCGGTTTGATCCCGGCTGGCCAATGAGGGTCCCACATGGTGCAGCAGACCTCTCCTGTCTCACCCTGCTGCTCCCCTCAGCAGTGTATTTTGTCAGTCTGCCTGTTCCGTTCCCTGCTCTGTCTCTGGTGAATCCTCTCACCCTCCTGCCCATCTGGTCTGTAACCCGGTTCTTGTATAAATAAATAAATAAATCTTAAAAAAAAAAAAAAAAAAAAAAGAAATCGCTGAAGATCCGAAAACGCTGCAATCCCAAAAGCTGAACACCGGAGGTTGTGGCTGCAGCCCCTTTTATTTCTTACCAGTCTCCACCCCCATGGATACTTTGTTCCCATTTTCCCTGGGGCTATCCATCCTCACCAGCACCCCTTCCAGGGGGCACCACCTATAAAGACTGGCTTCACCCACTGGTTACAGAAGCACATTTTAATAATAAGAATGGTTAAAAGTAACACTGTAATAATAAGAGTAATAAGGTTTCCGCAAATAATTACACCTTACATTGCTTTCTTTTACCTAGTAAACAAATAGTCACTTATGCCAGGCATTAAGCCTTTGAGGTGTTTACTCTTAGTGCAATGTGATATACAAAGTTCATAGATAACTAATAAAATTATTTAACAACAAAGCAAACTTCCAATAGGGCTGTGCGGAAAGTGATGTATGTGCATGGGCGGTGTTGGCTTGGAGTGCCCTATGGAGGGCTAAAGTCGGGAATGAAAATAATTCACCTCGAAATCTCAGCACTAGCACCTCGAAATCTCAGCACTGTAGCCCAGCGCTCGCCCAGCTCCTCCCTCGCAGCCAAGGCTCTCGCCCCGCCCCCAACCCCGCCTCTCGCTTCTGTTCTCCTCGGGCTCCGCCTCTGCCCGCCCCCTCCGGCCGCGGGATTTCGAGGTCTTTTCTCGCGAGGTTTCCACCGCACTGGCGCTGACGGTAGTGGCCCGAGTCGCGTGGGTGTCGAGGTCTGTGGCCGCTTTTCTTTAAATCCGGTTTGGGCCTAGAGGCGTTTGGTAGGTGTGGGGGCACCGAGAACCGTGCAGCCGACCCTGGGGGTGTCTTGGGAGACCGTGGCGCGCGTTCCTGGGGTCGGCCGCCTGCCGCCCAGAGCGCGTGTGTGGGGACAGGGTGGGCGGTCGGCCGCGCCGGTGCCCCCGGAACTCCGCCCTCGCGGGACGCCGGCGCCGCCGCCGGGGGTGCGGGAGCAGAGCGGGGCTCGGCCCTCGCTGCCCTGCCGGGCCCTCCGTGGCCGACGCCCAGCTGGCGCCTCGGCGGCCGTGAGTGGGCCCGTAGTCAGATGGGAAACTCCGGAACTCGCTGCTATTAAATTACTTCTTTCAACGTTACCAAATAGGATTAGTTTTTCTTAATGCTGCCTTAGGAGGTTTGTTTTATTTTAACCACAGAAGCACAAAGACTTTTTACCGCGATATTTCTCTCCCCTCATCCTCTGTCAGCAAGATAGGAACGATGGAGTATAGGACGGAATCCGTGGAACGCACCCCAGCGCACATGTGAGTGTCCTCTCTGTCCCCCCATCCCCTTTACATTTTTGTATAGTTGATAGTATGTGAAGGATGGGTTTGGACTTTGAGGTGAACTTAATGTATATAGGCTTAAATTGTCACCTTAAGCTTGGGTAATGCAAAGTTCAGTAATTTTTTCTAAAGTCTCAAATGTGAAGGTGAACGCTCAGGTCAGTCTGTGACACTTTCTGACTTGCTTTCTTAAAGCAGGAGGAATCTTGAAGGTGGGAATAAATAATAAAGCTTTTTTTTTTTTTTTTAAAGATTTATATATACATACAAGAGCTGGGGTACAGGCCAGAGATGTGGGTGTGTGTGTGTGTGTGAAGAGGGGAGGATCCACCAGAGACAGAGCAGGGAACAGAACAGGCAGACTGACTGAAATACACTGCTGAGGGGAGCAGTGGGTGAGACAGGAGAGGTCTGCTGTGCCATGTGGGTTTCTCCCTGGCGGTCCAGGGATTGATCTTGAGCTGCAGAGGCTGTGGATTGCTTCATAGTGTGGTGCTTAACCTCTTGCGCCACAGGGAGGCTCTATTTTATTTTTTTTAAGATTTATTTATTTATGCATACAAGAGCTGGGGTACAGGACAGAGATGCAGGAGGTGAGAGGATTCACCAGAGATAGAGCAGGGAATAGAACAGGCAGCCTGACTGAAATACACTGCTGAGGGGAACAGCGGGCACTACAGGAGAGGTCTGCTGCACCATGTGGGTTGCTCCCTGGCCAGGGATCCAAGTAGTGCTGCAGCGGCTGAGGATTGCTTCACAGTGTGATGCTTAAACCCTTGCGCCACCAGGGAGGCCCCCAAAAAGCTTTATTTTCAATAAATGGAATTTGTTTTTAGCAGGAAAGTTTTTTTAGTAAGTATTTCCTTTAAGAGTGCTAAAATAGGGCCTCCCCGGTGGCGCAGCGATTGAGCGCTGGGTTGTGAAGCTGCCCGCAGTCTCTGCAGTGCTGGTTGTCCAACATGGCACACAGACCTCTACTGCTGCCCGCTGCTCCCCCTCAGCAGTGTGCTTCGTCACTCTGCCTGTTCTACTCTCTACTCTGGCTCTGGTGAATTCTCTCACCCTCCCATGCCTCTGATTGTACCCAGTGCTTGTATAAATAAATCTTTAAAAAAAAAAAAAGTGCTAAAATACTGTACCTCCTTTTATATTGACATTGTCTAATACAAATAACCACCATACACAAGCAGCTATTTAAATGTAACTAAAAGTAATAAAATTAAATATTCAGCTCATTTTTATCAGCCACAGTTCAAATCCTCAGTATCCTCATGTGTCTGGTCCATATTGGCCATCACATTATGCAGAACATTTCCGTTGGGTAACATCCATGATCTTTAAATTTTTCCTGCCCTTAATATACCTAGAATTATGACACTCCCATCAGTTGTCCTGCATCACTAGATAATATACTGTAGAAATTCTTAAAAAAATTTTCTGCTCTGGGTAAATGTTTACGTTTTGGCAGGCAGTCCCTTGACTGTACTGAGGCTTTAAAAAAATGCCTGTGGGCTGTAAAGCAGCCTAATGGTTACTATTAAAAATGTATATCAGTTTTGACAAATATCTGTTGTTAAATCAGAGGAAGTATCAACTGGATTAAACAGGCACCCACAAATTTGTTTGGGACAATTCTTTGTTTTTCATCATTGATAGAATACTGCTAAACTTTTCCCCTTAATTTTCCAGTTTTAAGAAAGGAAGATTAGTAATAGTGCTTCTCAAACTTTCCCCAAGTTTACTGTTTCTCCAGGTTTGCATTTGTGAAATTACTCTTATTTATTGGTAAAAATTAATTTGAATGTTTGTGGCTGTGTGAAAATGCCTAGAAGAATACATGCCAGTTACGTCTGGTTGGTAAAGTTTGCCTTAATATTTTCATTGTCCTTGAAATTTAAGTTCATTCAAGTTTTTGTGTTCATTAGTATAGTTCCATTAATTCCAATGAAACAATGTATTTCTTTGTTTTTAATGGGAAAGACTTGTTGAATTCTATGCAAGCTATTTAAATATAAATTAACATTAAAATTAAAAATACAGTAAATAATTGAATCACTAGAATCTAGGCCACTTGAATCACTGCAAATGGCCTTCTTGGACAGCATAGAAATTGAGCATTTCCATCATGTATTCAAAGAAGCCAGCCCTTCTTTCTGTTTTGCTCTCCTTTTACTTCTCACTCAGAACATTTCTGACACTTCTGTTATCAAATGTACGAAGAGTTTTCCCAAACAACTAACCAGCTGGATATCCTACAGTGTATTGCAATTAAGGATTGTTGTACCTAATCTCATGTTCCTTTGCTAGAGTAGGTCCTAGGTTACCTACAACTTCTGTCCAGTTTGTCTACAGATTAGAACGTCTCATGGCCCCTACCTCAAGTCCTACTAATTTGTTAGAATGGCTCATGGAACTCAGGGGAACACATTATTATACATTTACCAGTTTACTAAAGAATATGAAAAGGATACAGAGGAACAGCCAGATGAGATAATGTAGGGATTGGTTATCATAGGAACTTCTGTCAACCTCGGGTTTGAAGTTTGTCACTCTAGGTGTGGATGTGTTTAACCACCCAGAAGCTCTGCAAACCTTCTAATATTGGCTTTATGAAGGCCTCTCACATAGTCACGGTCAGTGATGAACTCTATTTCTAATCCTCCTACCGTTCCTGGAGGACAAGGGGTGGCCCTGGAAATTCCAAAATTGTAATCATTTCTTGGTCTTTCTGATGGCCAGAAATCACCTAGGAGCTCACCCAGAGTTGCCACAGTAGAACAAAATAATACTCCTAATAATAACTCCAACCACTTAGGAATTTACAAGGGTTTTAAGAACCTGTGTTAGGAACCAAGAATTTTCCAACTATTTCACACTTTGCATGGCTTTGCATGAAGTTTTGTTGGACAGCGCTGACTCTCCACTCAGTGGACATTAAAAATATTTTGAGGACTTTTGGAATTTTAGCCAACTTGTTTTTCTTGTCCCAGTATTCCAAGATTGGTTTATCTGCTTCACCAATGCAGATTGCTGTAAGGAATTTTTTTAAAAGGACAAATAGGACCTAATTTGAAGGCTTTTGTTTGTTGGGTAGGTAACCACCTCTCACTTTCCCAAAGGGGATACTGATTGTCCCAGTATGAGTCATGGTAGTGTTTAAATTTAAATTTAACCAATGCATTTATAAAATCTAACTTGAAAAATTTGTGCTGTGTTTACTCAAGCTTGTGCTGCGAATGTGGTGTCCCAATTAGTCCAAATCCTGCCAATATTTGTGTGGCCTGTTTGCGAAGTAAAGTAGACATCAGCCAAGGCATTCCAAAACAAGTCTCTATTTCTTTCTGCAAACAATGCCAAAGGTATGGTACAGTACTGTTTTATTTTATTTAATGTTGAGGTTTATATGTAGAAGAGCCACCAGGATATGCTGAGATTATCAAAGTACATAAAGTAATGTAATTGAGATTTAATTTTTATTTTTGCTGTTGTAGCTAAAGACTTTAATATTTGTAATCTTCTGATTTCTTTTTCTAGTTTGTTTTGCTAATTTGGTAAAGAAACTGTAAATGTGTTTGAATTTTTTTATGTTAAGGGATTAATGGGCTTGATGTATACAGTAAATACAAGTTGATGTTTGTAAGGATGAGAGTATTTTATTAAGGATGTATTGCTGTTTTTCCCATTTTTTTAAACCCCTTTTGTAGTCACTAGAAGCTAGGTATAAAAAGCACCTTAATATTTAAATTAGCAGTACGCTTTACACACAATATTAATATTTTCATGTAACTAAAATAGATTTGATGGGGAAAAAACTCAGTAAACCAAATCTAGGATGGGCTGAAAACAAGACTGGGTTTAAGGCAGAAGAATTCTGAAATTATATGTCTGTGGAATGCCAAGTGGGTTAACACTAGAGTGATTCTTAACTCTTTCAGGGGGTGGAGAGGGGAGTTTGTGAATCCTTTGAGAATTTGAAAACTTTCTCCCAAGAAAAAGACTTAAAATATGTATTAGTACAAACATATGAAAGATTTGTGTACTTATTAAGGCGTTTACAGTTTGGAAGTTCACAGTTTAGGAACTTGGCAAGTGTGAGGCTTGTTTTTTAATGCTGAAAAGCATGGTAGAGGGGGAAAACACTGAACAAAGAATCAAGAGACCTAGTTTATCTTGGATTTTGAAATTGAGCCAATTATCCTTTAAATATTAATTTCCTCATCAGAATGAAAGGGCTTTATTAGATGATACATGAAGCCCTTTGTAACTTGACAAGCATGTTTAAAGGGACTTGTTAATAAGGTTTTTGAATGGAAGTGAAAACCTAAATATTCACATTGTAAGTTCTCCCCCCCCGCCACACTTCCAAAAAAAAAAAAGGCTCACCCATAACACATTGGGAAGTATTAGGTATTTTTTTTTTAAAGATTTATTTATTTATTTATGCAAGCACTGGGTACAGTCAGACATGCTGTAGGGCGAGAGGATTCACCAGAGCCAGAGCGGGGAATAGAACAGGCAGACTGATGAAATACACTGCTGAGGGGAGCAGCAGGCGGCAGGAGAGGTCTGCGCGCCATGTGGGACCCTCGCTGGCGGCCAGGGATTGAACCGGCGCTGCAGAGGCTGCGGGCAGCTTTGCAGCCCAGCGCTCAACAGGCCTGGGAAGTATTAGGTATTTAACACATATTTATTGAGCACTGTGTGCTGGGCAAGGTCTTAAATCCTGGGTGGGGTGGACTAAAAAATTTTAAAGCAAATGATAAAGAGATTCAAGTCTTAATTCAGTCAGGTTTTATGTAATATTTTAAAACTTGAGCTTTATAATTTAAAAATAGAAAAGGCACTTAAAATAGATAAACAGTCTGAACTATTCTTATAATATGGGATACTAGTTTACCTTTTTGCATACATTATAAGCCTTTTTCATGCATTTTTGGGATGATTTTTACCTGTGTTTCAGAGCATGGCTTCAAGTGAATATCATCTCACTGGATTCTTAGTGGTGCTTAAAGTAATGAGACCTCTTTGATAGATTACTTTGGATTAGATTTCTCAATACTGAGAATTTTACCTTTTTAGCTTATTACATGTTTAATTGAAAGTTTTCTGAAATTAATAAAATTATTTGGTTTATGTGCCTCAAATCAACTGAGGTGGTATTATAACTGGCTAATGATCAGTGTTATATCTGTATATTTAGATGGAAATTTTTGTTTTTCCTGAGAGATGTTGGGATTTCAGTGTATTATCTTCTCTGTTAGATATTTCCAGCCACCTGGAACTTGGATACAATGTGCATTAGAATCCAGGGAACTTCTTGCTTTGTGTTTGAAAAAAATAAAAGCCCCTCTGAGTAAGGTAGGTCAAATAGTTAAAATCAGGTTTTATAGTTTTTTTTTTTTTTTCTTAATTAAGCTCTCATTTAGAGAAAATCTTTGTATGAGTAGGGTTTTTTTTTTTTAAATACAGCTATTAAATATTATTGGTAATCACCATACTACAAAGCCTGTTTTTATTTTTAAAGTTACTACACTTAATTTCCTCCTATTCTTTCCATTTTATTGTGAATGGCAACCATTCATCTTTCTTCTATCTGAATAGTTTTCCATTTTGTGACTATTCCACATCTTGATGCAGTCCTTTATCAGGGGCACTTAGGTTATTCCCTTGCTATTGTAAATAATGCTGCAATAAACATTAGGGAATACATAATTTTTGAGGTGACTGTTTCATATTCTTCAAAGAGATGCAGAAGAGTGGGATTTCTGAGTCATGGTATCTTCATTTTTAGTTGTTTAAGGTAAATCCCAATCACTTTCCGTAATCCTGGAATGGTTTATGTTCTTATTGACAGTATAACAGAGTTACATTTTTTCTGTATCCTCTCCAGTACTTGTTGCTGGATTTTTTTAATATGTACTGTTCTCTTGGATGTGAGGTGATATCTCATTTTGGTTTTGACCTGCATCTTTATTAAATGTGATAAGTACTTTCCTATGTATGTATTGATCTTGTAGATATCCTCTTTGGCAAATTGTCTTCAGATGTATTGCTCATTTGTTAATTAAGTTGTTTAAGTGTTAAGTTGAATAAATTTTGTATATATCTTGGATATTAAACACTTGTTAGTTGAATCTATTAACGGTTTCCCCTAGTATGATTTATGAATATTTTCTCCATTTAGTAGGGTATCTTTAACCTACTTGATTTCTTTTGCTGTGTAAAGGCTTTTTAATTTCAAGTAATTCAAATTGTTTATTTTTGTTTTTATTCCCTGTCCTTGTAAGGGTTCAGTCTCCAAAATATCTTTGTCATGGTGACATGAAATGTACTGCCAATTATTGCAGATTTTATATGTCTTCTATCCATTTTTTTAAATTGAGGTAGCATTGGCTTATAACACTATATATGATTCAGAGATGTAGGTTCATACCACTTCAGATGTATTCACCACCAAGAAAGACATCCATAGTCCACCATGGTCCATTGGGCTCCCACCCCCTCCAACAGCCTCAATTCAGATGTCTAGGTTTTGTTTTTTGTTTGCTTTTGTCTGATCCTTTGTTTAGTTTCTTTATATTCTATAAATGGTTAAGCCATTTGGTATTTTCCTTTGTCCTGGTTTGTTTCACTAACACCCTGCAGTTCTATTCATGTTGTCAAAAACAAATGACAAGAATGCATCTTTATTTTGTAATAGCTTAGTATTCCATTGTACATGTATACCATCTTAATTCACTCATTTGTCCTTGATTGTTGTCATAACTAAGCTATTAGACATAGTGTTGCAATGAACATACAGTGAATATAGCTCTTCAAATTAGTGTTTTGGTATTACTTGGGTCAAAACCTAGGAATGGAATTGTTGGATCATATGGTAGATCCATTATTTAGTATTTTAAGAACTTCCATACTGTTTATTCATTTTTTTTTTAATTTTATATGTTTTCTACATCATTTTTCATTTTTGTGCAATGTATGCAGTTTCATCTTGGTTATAGTCCCCATACAATTCCCACCCACCTTGTTTTGATCCTACTTCTCTGCCACACCTGCCTGCCCCGTCCCCCGCCACCCTCCCCCCCCAGTGTGTCTCTGGTTTATAGTTGCTTGTTGATTTTGATTTTTACTTTATTATAATTAGTCTTTTTCCTGGCCCCTTATTTAGGTTTTCTAAATTCCTGCTATGAGTGAGACCATCCGGTATTTTTCTTTCTCTTTATGACTTATTTTGCTGAGCATGATCCCTTCCAGCTCCATTCATGTTGCTGCAAATTACATGAGTTTATCATTTTTGATTGCTGAGTAATATTCCATTGTATATATGTACCACATCGTCTTGATCCCGTTATCTGTTTTTGGGCATTTGGGTTGTTTCCGTAGTTTAGCTATTGTAAATAGTGCTGCGATAAACATAGGGGTTCAGGTGCCCTTTTGAAGTAATGTTTCTGTCTCTTTTGGGTAAATACCTATGATTGGAATTGCTGGATCATATGGAAGCTCCAACTTTAGCAGGCTGAGAAATCTCCACATAGGTCTTCATAGTGGTTGGACCAGTTTGCACTTCCATCAGCAGTGCAGGAGAGTTCCTTTTTCTCCAGATCCTCGCCAACATATGTTATTGATAGTTTTTTTAATATGCCATTCTCACTGGTGTAAGATTGTATCTCATTGTAGTTTTGATTACAAGTGATGTTGAACATTTTTTCATATGCCTGTGGGTCATTTGCATTTCCTCTTTGGAGAAGTTTCTTTTTAGCTCTTCTGCCCATTTTTTGACTGGATTATTTACTTTGTTTTTGTGAGTCTCATCAGCTCTTTGTAGATTTTTGTGATCAGTCCTTTATCATTAGTGTTGCATGCAAAAATTTTTTCTCCCAATCCGTGGGGTGTCTCTATGTTTTGGTTACTGTCTCTCTTGCTGTACAGAAACTCTTTAATTTGTTGTAGTCCCAGCTGTTTATCTTTGCCTTCATTATCACTGCTTTGGGCGATGAGTCTTTAAAGATGTTGCTGAGATGTATGTCATATGTAGTGTGTTGCCTATATTTCCTTCTATATATTTTATGGTTTCAGTTTATGTCTAGTTCTTTAATCCATTTTGAGTTAGTGTTTGTGCATGGTTTGAGGTAGTAGTCAAGCTTCATTCTTTTGCATGTAGTGACCCAGTTTTCCCAGCACCATTTATTGAATGAACTTTCTTTGCTCCATCGCATATTCTTTGCTCCTTTGTCAACACTTTTTGTTCCTGGTATTTTTGGTATAGGCCATTTTCACAGGTATGAGTTGGTATCACATTGTGATTTCGATTTGTATTTCCTTGATGATCACTAATAATGAATATTCTTTCATCATTCATGATGGCCATCTGTATATCTTTGGAGAAGTGTCTGTTTAGCTCTTCTGCCCATTTTTGGTTGCATTATTTTTTTTTTTTTGCTGAGTTGTATGAGTTCTTTGTTAATCTTGTACATTAGCCCCTGGACAGATGGAATATGTGCAAATATTTTTTTTTCCCAGTCAGTTAAGTATCTTCATTTTAATACTTGTCATTTACACTGCTTCTTGTTTTTCAGCTTAAGTATCTTCATTTTAATATTTCTTTTCACTCTGCAGAAACTCTTTAGTTTGGTAAGTCCTATTTGTTTGTTTTGCTTTTGTTTTCCTTGCTGTGAGTCCCCCAAAAAATTACTCAAGCCAGTGTTGTGAAATGTTACCTCTTTTCTTCTTTGTAATTTATAGTTTCAGAGCTTAAATTCAGGTCTGTAATCCATTCTGAACATTTGTATATGGTGTGAGAGTGAACTAGTTTAATTTTCTGCAACACCATTTGTTGAAGAGACATTTTTCATCATATACTCTTGGCTCCTTTGTTGTAGATTAACTGTCCATATACGTATGGGTTTATTTCTGTGATCTCAATTCTATTCATTGTTGTTTGTGTCTACTTTTACTCCCAATACCATTCTGTTTCTGTAGCTTTATGGTATAATTTGAAGTTGGGGAGCATCATACCTATTTTCCTCTTGTCAGGATTACTTTAGCTATTTGTGGACTTCTATGTTTCCGTGTAAATTTCAGTAATGTTTGTTCTGTTTCTTTGAGGAATGCTGTTGTGTTGAATGCTGTTGTGTTAAATGCCTTTAGGAGAGTCATTTTTGACTTGATTGATTTTCCCTATCCATGACCATGTATATCTTTCTGTCTCTCATTTTCATTGTATAATCCTATATTTCTTTTCTGGTTAATTCATAAGTATGATTCTTTTTGATATGGTTGTGAATGGAATTATCTTAATTTATTGCTTGTTCATTTTGTATATAAAAATGCAATACATTTTATAACCTGGTGTTTTCTGTATTTATTGTTTCTAATTGCCTTGGAGGGACTCTGTAGGATTTTCATTATCTAGAACTCTATCATCTATAATTAATGTTTGTTTCTCCTAAAAAATGCATTATACTTTAAGGGGGAAAAGAATTTTTCTTTACAAATATTTTAATTTTGCTTGAATCTCAATCTTACCAGGTGCATTAATACCATCACTGGATTATTCTTTGACTTGATCTTTGTTGTCGTACAACAAAACTTTTTGTTGGGAGATCTCATTTTCAGTGGTGATAACCTGTGCTAAGCACAGGTTTCTTCAGCATTGTATGAAGTCTTTTTATTTAATGAATTGTTCATTCATCTTTTTCTCTTCAGATGGGAACTTAAATTTTTTTTGTGTGTTTATTGAAGGTACGGCTTGTAGATGCAGGCTTTGTTTGGACTGAGCCCCATTCTAAGAGACTTAAAATTAAATTGACTATTCAGAAAGAGGTAAGCTGTACATACATACTTTTCTCTATGTGGTTAAAATGTAGGTAGTGAAAAGGAGGGACTACTTGTAAATTATTTTATGACTTGACCAGCTTACAAGGAAAAGAACAACCCTTTTACTCTTCTTTGTTTTCTTCTGAATTGCATAATTAGCAAGTGCAGCCATTGATCTTCATTTGTGGGTTAAGATTATCTTTTTAAAGTTGTTTTTACTAGGAAAGAGATGTAAAAATTTGAGCTAAAGTACTGATTGTTAAACTTAACTGATCATAATGACTCTCAGTAACAGAATCAAATTGGATTCATCTGATTGTATGCTCAAGAAACTGACAAGCTTCGTAGGTGATTTCTGATCATTGGCTATGATTGGAAACAAGAATCAGGAAAGATTTTTAGTTAAATATTAAAGCTTATAAGAAAAATAATTTGTTATTAAATGTTTAGAAAGGTAAGAATTAAGGAATGTGATTGTTTTCCTTTTCAGGTGATGAATGGTGCTATCCTTCAGCAAGTATTTGTGGTGGATTATGTTGTTCAGCCCCAGATGTGTGGAGATTGTCATAGAGTGGAAGCTAAGGATTTCTGGAAGGCTGTGGTTCAAGTGAGGCAAAAGGTAATGAGAGAATTCTCCATCCGGTGTTTAATCTCTATCAGTTATGAACAGCTAGTAAGAAAACCTCATTTTCAAGTGCTTCATGAAACAGGGATAGTCTGGATTCCTGGAGAATTCACATTTAGAAATAATTCGCTGTCACATTTTAGATAATCTTTAAAGATTGTTTTAAAAATCATTGTGCGATAACTAGATTTTTGTTTGTTTTTTGCACTTTATTAAACTAGTGCATTTATGTTTATAGACTTTGCATAAAAAAACTTTCTACTATCTGGAACAGTTAATTTTGAAATATGGAATGCATCAGAATACACTCCGTATCAGAGAGATTCATGGTGAGTTAAAATTTGAAACAATGTCAAATTTTATTCTAAGTAACCTAGTCTTTTATCTTTACTGATAAAATCTGGAGAAGTACGCTCCAAAAGAACTTCTGTTAAGGAAAAAAAAGGGGCCTCCCCTGGTGGCGCAGTGGTTGAGCGCTGGGCTGTGAAGCTGCCCACAGCCTCTGCAGCGCCGGTTCGATCCCCAGCCACTGGTGAGGGTCCCACATGGTGCGCAGACCTCTCCTGTTGCGCCCACTGCTCCCCTCAGCAGTGTATTTCATCACTCTGCCTGTTCTGTTCCCCGCTCTGGCTCTGGTGAATCCTCTCACCCTCCCGCGCTTCTGACTGTACCCAGTGCTTGTATAAATAAATAAATAAATCTTTAAAAAAAAAAAGAAAAGTTTTTTTTTTTTCCCCATAAAAGTGCTTATTTCTTTATGTGCACTATCCAATATGGTAGCTACTTGGTCACATTAAATACTTGAATTTTGGTTAGTTCAACCAAGTAACTCAATTTTAATGTTTTTCTATTTTAATTTTAAATTTATATAGTTGCTAGATAATTAAGCCAGTGACTATATTAATGGAATATAAAGTACAGTAATAGAAAATTTATTGAAAACTTAAGTAGCGATCAGTTTCTTAGAAGATAATTATTTATGAGAACTCTAAGTTTTTTTAGAATATTTTTATTTTTTATGGGTAGAGGAATTTGTAATAGGTGTTAATTTAGAAATCTACAATTCTGTAATAATAAATAGTCTATACGATATATTCTTGAATATGGAATTTGTAAATTTTTTGTGTAATATCATAATGGCTTATACAAGCATGTTCTCTCTTGCACTTGTTATTGGTGTAAATACTTATACATAATAGGTGATGGATGATTAGTAGAAAACCTGAATATTCTTTAATAAACTCTGGGGCTTTCTTAAAGGTTAACATTTTAATATTTTTATATACTTTTTTTATTAAAGCACCATTGTTTTATATCCTTGTTAGTATTTTAGCAGTAAAGGATATCCCCTCTGATCTGTAATCACCATAACACTGCTATCATCAAAGTACTCATAGTCCTCCACCATAGTCCAGTGCGCTCTTCCTTACCCCTGCCCTTCTGGATGCCTCAGATCTATAGTCAGCTTTCAAGGGTTGGTTTTATTGTTTGCCTTTTTCTGACCCTTTGTTTGGTTTCTCTGTATTCCACATAGAAATGACATTTATGCTGCTGCTTCTGCCTTGTTACTCTTGCATAATCCCTTCCTGCTCTATCCATGTGATTGCAAATGACATGATATTATCTTTTTTTGATCACCTAAGTAGTATTCCATTATGTCTATAAACCACATCTTCTTAATTCACTCTTATTTTGGGTATTTAGGTTGTTTCCATATCTTGGCTATTAAATAGTATTGCATTAAATATAGAAGTTGAAGTTCCAAATTAGTGTTTTCCTGTTCTTTAGGTAGAGATCTGTGAGTGGGATTGCTGAAGTGAATGGCAGATCCTATTTTAGTCTTGAGAAACCTTCACATGGGTTTTCATAGGTACTCTGGACCATTGTATACCCCCACCAGTAGTGTAAGAGGATTCCTTTTTCTCTGTACCTTCTCCAGCACTTTTTTTTTTTTTTTAAAGATTTATTTATTTGTGCATACAAAAGCTGGGGTATAGGCCCAAGGTATGGGGGGTGAGAGGATTCACCAGAGTCAGAGTGGGGAACAGAACAGGCAGATCTTCTGAAATAACAGTGCTGACAGGAGCAGTGGGTGAGACAGGCGAGGTCTACTGTTCCATGTGCATCAGGTCCCTGGCTGGGGATCGAACTCATGTTGCAATGGCTGGAGGTAGCTTGATAGCACTCAGTCTTTAACCCCGGTACACACAGGGAGGCCCCATCCAGGACTTGTTATTACTTTTTTTTTTTTTTTGATGTGGGCTATTCTTACTGGTGTAAGGGGGCATTTCGTGGTTTTGATTTACATTTCCTTGGTTATAAGTAAAGATTCACATTTTTCCCTCTACCTGTTAGCTATCTGTATGTAATCTTTAAGAAGTGCCTCTTTGTCTCTTTTGTCCATTTTTTCATTGCGTTATTTGTTTTGGTCTTGATCACTTATATGAGCTCTTTGTAGATTTTTTTTTTAAAGATTTATTTTTATTTATTTATACAAGCACTGGGTACAGTCAGAAGCGTGGGAGGGTGAGAGAATTCACCAGAGCCAGAGCAGGGAGCAGAGCAGGCAGAAGGACCAAAATACACTGTTGAGGGGAGCAGCAGGCAGCAGGAGAGAGGTTTGCGCGCCATGCGGGACCCTCCTCCAGCGGCCAGGGAGCAGCTGGGGATCTAACTGGCGCTGCAGAGGCTGTGGGCAGCTTCGCAACCCAGCGCTCAACCACTGCGCCATTGGGGAGCCCCCTCTTTGTAGATTTTTAATCAGTCCCTTTTTGACTAGTTCCTATTGGTGTCTAATTGGAGAAAATACCTGATTTAGCTCTGGTCTCCTTTCTTGTACAGATGCTTTTTAGTTTTACATGATCCCAATTGTTTTTTGTTCTCTTCTTTCTCCTGGGAACAAATATGCAAAAATATCTCTGAAGCTTATGTTATTGACTACTTTGCCTGTATTTTCTTCTCTGTATTTTATGGTTTCAGGTCTTATATCTAAGTTTTTTTTACCCATTTTGAGTTAATTTAGCATATGGTATGAGAATATTCTCATTTCATTCTTTTTTATGTGGTAGTCCAATTTTCCCAGTAGCCTTTATTTGAAATCTTTCCTTTTTCCAGGACATATTCTTTTCTCCTTTGTCGTAGATTAACTGTTACTATGTGTGTGGGTATATATCTCTGAGCTCTCAATTTTATTTCATTGATCTGTGTGTCAGTGTTTCTTCTAGTACCATGTTTTAATTATTATGGCTTTATAATATAGTTAGAAGTCTGGAAATGTAAAACACCATTTTTACCCTTTTTAGGCTAGCTTTGGCTATTTGGTGTCTTTTGTAGTTTCATATGAATTTAATAATACCTGTTGTTTCTTTGAAGAATGCCATTGAAATTTTTATTGGTATTGCTTTCATCCTCCACCAAACCAATTTGTGCCCATACCCCATCTGCTTCCATTCCCCATTCAATCCTCCCTCCCTCCTGTTGAACTCTGGTAACCATTATAGTCTTGTTTAGTATAAGATTTACTCTCACTATTCTTCATGTATGAATTTTTTTGGGGTGGGGGGAGTGTATTTATATTCCATTGATGAATGAAGCCATCTGGTAGCTTTTGTATTTCTTTTAACACTATTTTTACTGTGTCTTTTACAGTTTTCTTTTTATAGGTCCTTCCCCTTCTTTTTTGGGTATTCCTAGGTATTTAATTTTTTTTTTTTTTTAATTGCAAATGGCATGCTTTACTTAAGTTCTTCTAGTTTGTTGTTTGTGTGTAGGAAGGCAATGGATTTTTATTGATTTGGTAGCCTTTCACTTTGCTGAGCTTGTTTATTCTAATTATTTTTTCTGTGGCATTTTTAGGATTTTCTATGTATTATGTAATCTGCAAATAAAGGTAGTTTTTACTCTTCTTTTCCAGTTTGAGTTCCTTTTATGTCTTATTATTGCCTAATGCTCTAAATAGGATTTCCAATGTGTTGCGAGTGGAAATCCTTGTCTTCTACTAGACCATAATGGAAAGCCTTATTTTTTTTCACCATTGAGAATGATGCTAGCTGCAGTTTTGTCATATATAGCTTTCATTATGTTAAGAAATACTCCATTTTTTCCCAGTTTTTGAGGAGTTTCATCACAAATAGGTGTTTTTGGGTCCTGTGTCCTGTTAGGCATATGCCTAATTCTTTATGTAAAGATTTAATGTCCCTGTTCATTTTTTGTTTCATTGATTTGTCAATTGATAAGAGTGCATTCTTAAAGTCACCTACCACAAACATGTCTTCCAATTTTTGTTTTCTGAGTTGATAGTTGCCTAGTCATTTTGGTATTCCTTTGTTTAGTGCATGACTGAATTTTAAATTGTATTCCTTATTTTAAAAAGAACTTTAAGTTCCACTTTTCTTTCTGATTTGTTTTCGTTTACATGAATGACATGTCTTGCATGGCCTAAGAAAAGTCCTTTAAGTGTGGTCTTGGATCCTTAAATGGGGTATATATATGAATATCAGATATGTTACCTCCACAGCATCTATTATAACTTTTTATGATGGGTTTTGGTGTGTGGGGCTTTTGGGTCCCTCTGAGAAAGAATTCAGCAGGCGTTCCCATTCATCAGTACATGCAAGTTTATTGACGAAAGGAAAGAGAGCTGCCCGCATAAACATAGGTGGGTAGTCCTAAGGCCAAGAACTGTCCACACATTCTTTTAAATTGTCTTTGTGACCTAAGTGCATTACTAGTAGACGTAAAGTTAATAGTCTAAAGCAGTAATACAGTTTAGTTAATACTTTTTGTGGGTATGGCACCTAGTCCTGGGTATTTGTCTCAAACAAATACCTGGGTCCTGGGTATTTTGTCCCCCAGACAAAAATATACCTTTGAATAATGCTTTTGGGGATAAATCTAAATAGTCTAGTTAATTCTGGTTCCTAATAAGGAAGAGCCAAACATTCTACCAGCAGTATATGCAGGGTCCAATTTCTCCATATCCTTATTTGTTTTGATAATAGCCATACTGATAGGTGTGAGGTAGTATTTTGTGTGGCTTTGATTTTCAGTTCCTTAATGATCAGTGATTGGGCATTTTTCTTATAGCTGTTGGCCATTGTAATTCTTACTTAGAGAAATGTCTGTTCATTTCTTCTCCCCAATTTTTAATCAGATTTTTATTTTTTGCTCTTGAGTTGCGGAAGTTTTCTGTATATTTTGATGATTAATCCCATAATCATGTGGTGTGTAAATATTTTCTTCTATTCTTCAGGTTACCTTTTCACTGTAGAAGTTTAGTTTGATGTAGTCCCAATTATTTATTGTGGTTCTTTTGCCTTTGTTTTTGTTG